ATCATAAATGCACGGCTCTAGTATGAAATAACATAGGCAAGAAAATGGCCTCTGCACTATTAACTCAGCCAGGCCATTGCATGACAGGTGCAATGTACTCAACAGGCTTTGTTCTGCTTCTCTTATAATGTGCTCTAGGAGTCCAAGTTTTGGTTAAACCCAGCTTCTCAGCCTCCCCTTCTGCCCTCTGTCTAGGACTGCGCAGAGCCAGGGGCAAGTTCAGGACCTGGAAACATCAAGGCTTTGGCATTGCCCAGGGGCCCCTGCAGAGCCCTCACCTAATGTACCATTCCAGCAGATCTTTTTTTTTGTTTTTTTGAGATGGAGTTTCACTCTTGTTGCCTAGGCTGGAGTGCAGTGGTGCAATTTTGGCTCACTGCAATTTCCGCCTCCCAGATTCAAATGATGTTCCTGCCTCAGCTTCCCAAGTAGTTGGGATTATAGGCACTCACCACCACACCTGGCTAAATTTTTTTTATTTTTAGTAGAGACGGGATTTCACCATGTTGGCCAGGCTAGTCTCGAACTCCTGACCTCAGGTGATCCTCCTGCCTCAGTCTCTCAAAGTGCTGGAATTATAGGCATGAGCCACTGTGCCTGGCCCCAGCAGATCTTTTTTCTTTTTTCTTTTTTTTGAGACAGTCTTACTGTCACCCAGGCTGGCGGGCAGTGGTGCAATCTTGGCTCTGTGTAACTTCTGCCTCCTGGGTTCAAGCAATTCTCCTGCCTCAGCCTTCCAAGTAGCTGGGACTATAGGCGCACGCCACCACACCCGGCTAATTTTTGCATTTTCAGTAGAGACGGAGTTTCACCATCTTGGCCAGGCTGGTCTTGAACTCCTAACCTTGTGATCCACCTGCCTCAGCCTCCCAAAGTGCTGGGATTACAAGGATGAGCCACCATGCCCAAACCCCAGCAAATTTTTAGTTTGATTTATTTCCTGTAGTTTCCAGAATAAAATCTACTTTCCAAATTTTCTCCCCAATCCTTGGAAATGTTATGTTCTCAGTAAAGTCAGTGAGCCCTTGTGGCAATGCTGAGTGGCAAAGCCTGCCTCTGGGTGTGGAGAGATTCAGGCTGATGCCTACACAGCGGCCCACGCCATGCACCGTTCTGTGTATGCGTGTGTGTGTGGATAAAGGGCCTATCTTCCACATCCTGTGGGTGCAGAAGTTGCTTCTCCAGCCTACTCCTGACACACTGCCAGCCTGAACTTCTAGGTGCCAGTGGCTGCCTGAGAAGGACAGAGCCTGGCTGGGGCTGGTAACTGGGCTTAGGACAGAGTCTGCCCTGAGTCCCGGTTCTGGTTTCAGTTCCACTGTCTCTTCCCTGTGAGGAGGTGGGCAGGTCCTTTGTCCTCTCTGGGCTTGTTTCCTCTTGAGGAAAATGAGGAAGTTGCACAAAACCCTTCTGGGGTCTACTCCAGCTCTGACATCCTAGGGTGTCGGAAGAATGGGGGGAAATTAAAGGAAAACCTATTAAAGTCAAATGACAGACTGTGAACCTGAGCTTTGGGGTGACTGAGAGGGACTTTGAGCTGAGCCAAGCTGGCAACCTTGAGTCCTCCCAGCTGTGCCTTGTCCTCAGTTTCCCTGTGATGTTTCTGAATCCTGACTGCCATCTCAACAGGTGCGGGCGGCCGAGCTCCATCTGTCCGGCAGCAACACATCTTGAGAAGCTACTCACCAGCAGTAAGTCCCCTCCTCCAAGCCCCTAGCCCTCTGTCCTTCCAAAGGGCAATATCTTATCAAAGTGCCGTGGGAAGGATGAGAGAAAACCTTACCTGAAATGTCAGTGACTTTGATAGCTGTTGCTCGAGGAAACTTTTCTTTGAGAATTTGGGTCACTCTGAGCTCCCCCTCAGTCTGGGAGGCAAACATCCGACGGACACAGTGAAGTGGAAGCTGCCAAAGAACAGAGAGGAGGGTCAGGGCAGAGGGAGACGCTGCTGCCCCCGAGCTGGGCCACTGTGCAAGCCCCTGCCTGCCATTCCCCTGTAAGGCAGGCCCCTGAGCCCTTGCCAGCACTGTCACGGGTTAATTAAGAGGGGCTCTGTGGTATTAGCAGTCCATGTAAGCCCTCCAGAACACAGAATAAACTTTTAATGGCGGGGAGAGGATGATTTTTTTTTTTTTTTTGAGAGGGAGTCTCACTCTGTTGCCAAGGCTGGAGTGCTGTGGCCCAATCTCGGCTCACTGCAACCTCCGCCTCCCAGGTTCAAGCGATTCTCCTGCTTCTGCCTCCTGAGTAGCTGGGATTACAGGCACACACCACCACGCCCAGCTAATTTTTCTATTTTTAGTAGAGATGGTGTTTCATCATGTTGGTCAGGCTGGCCTTGAACTCCTTACCTTGTAATACACCCGCCTCTGCCTCCCAAAGTGCTGGGATTACCGGCGTAATCCCAGCCTAGGATGATTGTTAATAACTCAATTTGACTCCAGAGACAAGAGGACCCAAACCTAATTCAAGAGATGCTTGATTCCTCAATGTCATGTGACGCTATTATGCTGATAGTTTTATAGGTAAGGAAACTGAGAGACACAGTAATGTACCCAAGGTTGAACTGGTTAAGAAGATGCAAAGCCAGAAGAGAAGCTGGACAGCCTGCCTCAGATCCATCCCAGTAGGCCATCTGGCATCCATTGCCCTGGATGGCGAGGCCAAATTCCACTCTCCCCAGTGCGATGTGATCTCACAACCCAATGCTCAGTAAGCCAGCTATCCTTCATCATGTGCTCATTCTCACTGAGGAGCAGTGTTAGAATTCTATGAAAGGACCTGAAGAAGGAACAAGGAGGATCTGTAGGTTGTTTACCACTGGCATCAACACCCCTTCCCCAATGGCTACCACAGGGAGTCTGTGTTTCCTTTTTTTCTTTTTTCTTCTTTTTTTTTTTTGAGACAGAGTTTTGCTCTGTTACCCAGGCTGGAGTGCAGCGGCACAATCTTGGCTCACTGCAACCTCCGCCTCCTGGGTTCAAGCTATTCTCCTGCTCCAGCCTCCAGAGTAGCTGGGATTACAGGCGCCTGCCACCATGTTCGGCAAATTTTGTATTTTTGGTAGAGACAAGGTTTCACATGTTGGCCAGGCTGGTCTCAAACCCCTGACAGGTGATCAACCAATCTCGACCTCCCAAAGTGCTGGGATTATAGGCGTGAGCTACAGCGCCCAACCCGGGGAGCCTGTTTCTGATGGAACATGTGTCAACATTTAGGAGTAAAGGAGCAGAAAACTGGTTGGCAGTCACTTGGCTGGGCTGAGCACATGCTGAAAAGGCAGACTGGTAATGGAGTGTGGCAGGTCTTGAATGCCAGCCTAAAGATTGCGGACTGTGTCAGACAGGTGATGTGGCTCCAGATGATGGAACCCAGGCTCATGGTACCGAAGTAACCTGCAGGAAACAATGCCTTCTGGAGCGAGTCAGGAAGAGGCATTACAATGGAGGAAGTACTGGGTGCTGGTCCCTGACTAGACATGGATGACAGGTGGGAGGACACTAGGGCCGTTCATGGGTGCTGGTGCTGAAGGTCCCACCCCTCTACCCCTCAGTCCTTCTGGATAACTCAGAGTAAGGTCCTATGTCACAGAACTCAGAGCACCTCCTTTAAAATGAGCTGTGCACCGGCTCTCTCACCACTGGTCTTATAGACCAGGACTGAGTAGGGCAGCATCCCAGAGCTGACCCCAGGGCAGGCCCTCAGAGGCACTTGGTGTTGGATAGATGAATGAATGAGCAGGGGAAGAACTACTCAGGGACAATTCTACTGGGCCCCAGCAGAGAAGTCTGACAGGCAGTTGAAATGCACATCAGGAGAAAGGTCCAGCGTGTGATTGTCTGCCTGCTGTATGGAGGGACAGAACCTCAATGTTGAGAGACTGGACAGGATTGCTGGGGGTAAGGGTGGGGTGGAGCTGCTTCTGGGGGCAGAATCTAGGGGGAAAAGGCAGAGAGTAACCAGATGACAGGCAGAATCGGCAGCCACTAAGGGGTGAGAGTGGTGAGTGTTGCAGAATCCTTGGGAGAAGCCTTTCTTTCATCTTAGCAGATCTGTGGTCAGCGGCCTTTAGTGGAATAATCAACTGACATCCCCAGATCATCACTGACCACGTTCAAAGTCACTACAGTGGAAGAACTCCTCATACACAGGCGAGGCAGGTAGAGGACCAGGGGAGACGGAAAATGAAAAGAAAGAGAAAGAAGTGTATGAACTGAAGCAAAGGATGAATCAGAAAGTGGGAGAAATTAGGAGAGCGCGTGGGAAGTGTCCCTAGCTTGGGTTCTGCTCCGGTAGTGTGGGATCTGGAGAGGATCAAGGTCAGAGGCCCAGTCGACCTTCCCAAGGCCCCAGCTCCTCTACAGTCCCCTGCACCCACGCCTCGACTTCGGGCTATGACTTCTCTCTTCCGCTCTGCAAATCATCTTTTTTTTCCCCTTGTGCCCTTTGTATTATGACTGTTTATGTGTCTGTCCGCCTGACCTCCAAACTCCACCCAGCTCGGGAGCTCCCCCAGAGCGCTCTGGAGCTTGAAATTTCGAATGCCGAACTCGCTGACTGACTGAATGAATGAATGAATGAATGAGGGAAAGGAAGAGAAGGCCCCCAGTGCCGGTGCCGCGCCCGCCCCTCAAGCCCCGACAGCTGCCTGCCCCACGGTCCCTCCACAGCTCCCGTCCCGGGGAGAGCAGCCTCGACCCAGCCCGCGCTCACCCCGCGGATCCCGCGGAGCAGAGACGCTGCCGCAGCTGGGCTCCATGCCGCCATGCCCGGCTGACGCGACCCGCCGCCCGAGGTCACCATATGCCCGAAAGATGCGGAGCGGGAGACCGAGAGCAGCCGTCGTGGGAGAGGCCGCCCCCTGCCGCCCGGAGGCCGCCAGCCTCCCGGGGCCCCGTCCCAGTTCTCAAGGCCCCGCCCGGGAGGCCTCCGGCCGCCTGGCTCAGTCCCCTGAGGCTGCCGGACGCCGGGCCCCACCTCCGCCTCCTCTGGCTGACTCCACCCCTGACACTGCAGCGCCAGCCGGCCTCGGGCCCCGCCCTCTGCCTGGGCTCGTCCCGCGCTCCTCCAGCTTCCCCAGGGCCTGTTTCACCGATAGGGTCTCCTTGCCCGCGTGAAAACCTCTTTCCTCCTCAGCTCAGAAACACTCCAAGGTCTTGGCGCCCGACACGAGCCTTCCCTCATCCGAATACCTCTCGTGCCCCTGATGCACTTTTCCATTCCCACTCCCCACGTCGGCAGCCTAGCTTCTGAGAGCTTGGCCTTCTTTCCCGGTGTGGGGACTCGTGGAAGGATTTGATTCGCGCTTTAGAAAGATCGCTCTGCTCCTGTGAGGAGGAGGGCGTACTAGGGGCTGCCACCGGAGACACGCTCAGAAGCTCCGGGCTACCGCGATGGTCCAGGTGAGAACAGAGGGGCCTGAACTAAACCAGTGGAAGGAGGAATGGAAGAGTGAACTGAGACACGGGAAGTGAATAGAATCGAGCGACTGCATGTTGGGGTGAGGGTGGGGAGGGTATCTGAGATGACTCCTGTTTCTGGCTTGGACAATGACTTGGATGGAGGAGGGTTAGTTGGGGGCTAAGCAGAGTCCTCGAACAGTTTTGAATTTGCCTGAGTTTAAGGTGCCACAGGACACAGCCTAACAGAGGCCCAGGTTGGAGCCATGGACCATAAGAATGGAACGGAAGCTGATGCCATGTGGGATGGGGTAGAACTCTTGGCAAATTCTACCCGCCTCTGGAGTCCTCAGACCAGTCAAGACAGAAGTTCAACCAAGCTCCTCCTCTCTCCAGCTGTATTTGTTTGCGCACGTGGTCTGATGGCACCCTGCAGGATTTACCAGCTTTTGGCCAATATTCTGGCCTATGCAATCAATACGTCCCTTCAGCGTTGCACTTGGATGGATGGACCTATAGTTGTTCTATATGGATGTTGTCTAAAATATTTATTACAATATTAACTGACTCCTAGGTTCTGACCTTAAGAATTTCTCCTTTGAATCAATTACTAGCCTGTCTTACATTTTCTGCTTCCTTCCTTTAAAATGTTTACAGATGATTTGCTAACCTCTAAGTTTCCTTCATTGAGTCAATGATGCAATTAAAACTGTCAAAAAAAACTTTTTTTCAAGCAGGGTAATAGTGGTGAACCATCCCCTTGCTATTCAAACAGCATGGTTTAGATGAGCCACATCTATTCCCAGTTCTAGGAGTGGAAACAGGACCCAAGTCTGGCTAGTCAGAGATTGACTTAGGGTTGGCCACATGATCTGAGCCAAACCAATAAGAGTTAGTATAGGAACTTTTCTGGAACTAAAGAAATGGATCCTGGCCAGGCGTGGTGGCTCACGCCTTTAATTTCAGCACTTTGGGTGGCCGAGGCGGCCTCATGTGAGGTCAGGAGTTCAAGACCAGCCTGACCAACAAGGAGAAACCCCATCTCATCTAAAAATACAAAATTAGCTGGACGTGGTGGTGCATGCCTGTAATCCCAGCTACTTGGGAAGCTGAGGCAGGAGAATCGCTTGAACCCAGGAGGCAGAGGTTGCAGTGAGCCAAGATCACACCATTGCACTCCAGCCTGGGCGACAGACAGCCTTTTGCAACTTTTTTTTTTTTTGAGACGGAGTTTCACTCCTGTTACCCAGGCTGGAGTGCAATGGCGCGATCTCGGCTCACCGCAACCTCTGCCTCCTGGGTTCAGGCAATTCTCCTGCCTCAGCCTCCTCAGTAGTTGGGATTACAGGCATGCGCCACCATGCCCAGCTAATGTTTTTGTATTTTTAGTAGAGACGGGGTTTCACCATGTTGACCAGGATGGTCTCGATCTCTTGACCACGTGATCCCCCGCCTCGGCCTCCCAAAGTGCTGGGATTACAGGCTTGAGCCACCGCACCCGGCCTTGCAACTTTTATTTTAGAATCAGAGGGTATATATGCAGGCTTGTTACAGAGGTATATTGCATGGTGCTGAGGTTTGGAGTATGAATGAATCTGTCCTTCAGGTAATGAGCATAGTACCCAATAGGTAGTTTGAACCCTTGCCCCTTTTCTTCCTTCCTCCCTCTTGTATTCCCCAGTGTCTATAGTTCCCAGATGTTGATCTTTTTCTGGTGTGCTGCTAAGCTGGTAGAAAGGCTGGAGTTGCTGGCAACCATCTTTGCAACCATGCAGGCAGAGCTACTTTGGAAATGAAGCAAGACAAAGAAGAAAACAGATAAAAGGAGACAAATGTTTGCCTTTGTTTGTACAGCTGGGAACCAGCAGTGCTGGAAATAAGCACTAAACCCAGTTTTTAATTGGGTTTCTCACTTCTAACCAAATGAGGTTAAACAAAGCTTACAGATTTGTATTGGTAGAATTCTTCCTTTTATTTAAAATGGCACTTTTGGCCAGGCAAGGTGGCTTATACCTGTAATCCAAGCACTTTGGGAGGCCAAGGCATGCAAATCACCTGAGGTCAGGAGTTCAGAAACAGCCTGGCTAACATGGTGAAACACTGTCTCTACTCAAACTACAAACCATTAGCTCGCCGTGGCGGCCTTTCTACCAGGTTTTTGTCTCCAAAAAAAGGGGTACTTTTGCTTATATCTTCCATTTCCCCATAATTTGATGACTGCCCACACTATGTTATTCTGAGCTACTCTCTGCCCCATTTTCCTCCTATCCTCAGTTTCCCCTAGGCTGTCAGAGCCATCTGAAGTGAAAACATTTAGGCAGGGTATGATGGCTCACGCCTGTAATCCCAGCACTTTGGGAGGCCAAGGCAGGCGGATCACCTGAGGTCAGGAGTTCGAGACCAGCCTGGCCACATGGTGAAACACCATCCTACTAAAAATACAAAAATTAGCTGGGTGTGGGGGCGTGTGCCTCTACTCCTCAGCTACTAAGGAGGCTGAAGCAGGAGAATCACTTGAACCTCGGAGGTGGGTGTTGCAGTGAGCCAAGATCGAGCCACTGCACTCCAGCCTGGGCAACAGAGTGAGACTCTGTCTCAAAAATAAATGAAATGAAAACATTTACTACTTGAAATCCTTCAGACACCCCATCACCTACAGTTCTTTTTTATGATTTAACCACTATCTACCTGCCCAAATGAAATCTATCCTTCAGTAATATTATACTTGCATCTCCCTGTATAAGCTATGCTACAAGTTTGGTTACACAGTTGCCCACTTTTTAATGCCCAGCTTTTAAGGTTCAAGCCTTGTCTTCTCCCAAGGAGCCACCTCTGACTGCCTCACAATAAGCTTAGGGCCTGCAACTTACCTGTAACTTTTGTTGCACTTACGGCCCTTTACAACTATCAATTTATGTATGTGTCTGTTCCCACTGGTCTATAAGCTCCATGAGGACAGAGCCTTACTTGAGTCATCTGTCAACAGCCCAATATAGGACAAAAAGTGCATGCACCGTTATTATGGAACAGAACTGATAGAGGCTCAGCAATTTGCGCTCCAAAGGTCTAAATTTGAAACTTTCTAGAAAAGGATTTGCAGGACAATCTGACCAATCTTGGGCTTCCAAATTAGTTCCAACAGTTCCAGTATTTTTTTGGCAGAAACAAATAAAAGGTAAGTTTTACTTAATGATTAAAATAAAAGTGAAATGCATTTAGTCCCAGGAAATGAGTCAATGCTTTCTGCATCTTTTTTTGCTGTGACCTTGAGATTCTCTTCTCTTCAGTACATGATCACTCATAGCTTTCAAACATATATTAAATCTGGGCCAACTCAGGAAATTCATTAGGTAGGAACTCTTTCGATGCACCTCCTTTTTTAACCTCATTAGGATAATTTTTCATTGTATCAGCATTTTATTTTATAGAGCCTCCTAGCACTGTTGAGCATGCAGAATTTTTGCAAATGCTATCCAGAGAAACAGAGGCCTGACTTGCTATGTACTATTTGAACTTGTCGGAGCTTTCGTGGCATGGTCTAAAGAATACTGAAATATTTCTGGTGTATCTCTTAATTGCAATCACTTTCCCCAGGTTGCTTTATGGATTAAATGAGATAACCTACTAAAGGACTCCTGTAAAAAGCAAAAAGGTAGCTAGCTTTTGAGAGGTTCCATGGCAGAGACTGGCATCTAGTGGCCAGCGATAATGGTGCAGGCTAGTGTCCACACCTAAGTGGGGATGGTGCAGGCTGTAGTGTCCGTACCTAGTAGGGACATCAATGGGGTATTTGTTAGAGAAGGTCCATGGCATAGTTTGGACACTGTTTCTGGCTGCGCAGGTTGGAACCCAGAGTCTGGCTCTCCCAAAGATTAAGCTTATCCTTTTTATGATCAACTTTAGGCCTACTGAAAATGTCAAAAGAAATACAAAACTGATTGCTAGTTTACTCATAGCTTATACAAAATTAGTATTAACTAGGTTGGGTGTGGTAGCTTATGCCTGTAATCCCAGCACTCTGGGAGGCTGGGATGGGCAGATTACTTGCACTCAGGAGTTCGAGACCAACCTAGGCAATATGGCAAAACTCCCTCTTTACAAAAAATACAAAAAATTAGCTGGGCATGATGGTGCATGCCTGTTGTCCCAACTACTCAGGAGGCTGAGGCAGGAAGATCACTTCAGCCTAGGAGGTGGAGGTTGCAGTGAGCCAAGATTGTGCCACTGTACTCCCAACCTGGGCAACAAAAACCCCGTCTCAAAAAAATAAAATTATTGTTAACTTGTACTGTTTAGCCACATTCATTAAGTTTTTAATTTTAACTCTACGATCTCAGAACCAGGAGTGTACAAAGAGATCTGGAGCCTGATTCGCATGGCAGGAAGGAGACCACGTATTTTTGTCTGGGATGGGTTTTAGCCACTATCAGAGGCATAGTTTGTTTCTCAGGCATTGGGTCCTAGTATGATACTTAGTTCATTCAGGAACTTCCATTTTTAAGGGCTAAGAAAACATTTTAGCCACTAAATGTATACAAAGGTAACTTTTCAAATTTAAGCTATACTCAAAAAATCCACAGAACTTGCAAAACTCTCAAGTTTCTATATTTAAACAGAAATAAGTGTGTTGATATACATAATCAGTCATTTCTTGCTTTCAATATATTTTATTCTGATAAAGTTACAAAAGTAGATACAAAATACTTTTTAAAAAAGTACAGTTAACGGACTTAGAAAAATAGATAAAGCCCCTAAGGATTTTAAAATACAACATAAATTTTTATGTAAAGAACATTTAAAAAGATTTTAGATGGTAACCAAAACTAACTTACGCAAACTATTTTTGATGTAGAATAGAATGCTGTTCTTAATAATAGTCTATAGCACACTGGTAATCCATTTGGACCTACAGAATACTTGTTTGGAATAGAATCTGATAATTAGAGAAAACCCAAATGAATGTCAATGCAGTTGCTTCAAAAAAAATTACTGCTACAACATAAACTATCATCCCCCAAGGCCTTTTACATACAGTCTGAAATACCAAAATTGAAAGCAAAAATAGGATGACCTAAGGACTACGATTTTACCTCTTTGCCAGAATTCTACAATAGTAGAAACCGAATTCACTTACTGAACTGATCTCGGGGAAATAATGTGCCTGCTGAAGGTTGTGCTCAGCCTTTGGTGTCCAGGCTGGCATTTTTCAGGTGAGGCTTTGTTATCGACAGGAGGCAGGCTCCTATCCTATAACAAGGCAGCGACTGCACCAGCGCCATGACTAGGGCTGCTTAAAAACAAATCTTCTAGGACTTATGCTCCTTGGGCCTGATTTGTTAATGCTTATGAGGTAATGATATTATGTTTGAGAAGTTCTACTTTTAGTACATCCTCAATGCTCAGACAGAAGGCCAACAATACAATCAGAAAATCATAATATTGGCAAAACTTAATATTACCGCCAAGATTGTTCCTCTTACCCCTGCACTACTAGAAAAACTTTACCTTTGTTACCTAAATCATGGTGAATACAGATTTTGCATTTCTCATGTAAGCAGCTATATGAGCTAGGGTTCTACAAGCCTTAGATGAAAGGAAATGCTTTGTTTGCTAGAAGTCCTGTAAAATCACTTTATTCACAATCTGAAGAATGAAAGACACATTTGGCTGTCAATACAAAAACTAGTAAAAGGAAGTTCAACTACTTAAAAATCTGTACATCACTGTCCAAGTTTTTTTTGAAGGCCTGAAAATTAAAGCATCATAGGATTAACTGCATAATTTAGCAAGCACTCTTCACCCCGTATGTAACCATGTATGAAGAGCAGAGATCAGACACTGAAGAGATGACTTCTGATTAGCCAGGGGGAAGGGAATGAGTGTTATGGAACAGACAAACCTTGGGCACGGGGAAATATAAGTGAGAAGAGCCAAAAAGATTGATTTCTTCAAATTGTTATCAAAGGTTGGCCCTCTAGCCAAGCCAAGAAGGCGCCATCCTCATCTCATTATCTCCCCTTCCTCCAATTCTCCTCCCCACCTTGGCTCCCCAGCCTTGGAGTTAAACACTAATATTTAGGTGTACGGTTGGTTAAGCCAGATTAACTTGGGATCCTGGTAATGTTTTTATTTTTATCTTTAAAAAGGACAGTCTGAGTATCAAAATACCAACACATCTCTGATTTATGTCCTATTTATAAGCTGCCTTTACTACTGTCCTGACGTGATCGTCTTTCATTTGCTTTGGGGCTTAGAAAATAAGTGGAGAAAAGTGATAACTTTTTTTTTGTTTTATTATATTTGAAATATTAGAAATAATGAGGAATGTACAAGCCGAGCTGAGAAACCAGTTTCATCACTTGTGGACTTAAAAAAGTAAAGCCAACAGGGTTTAAAAGTTGAGAGGCAGTTCACAGCCTAAGTGACATCTAGAAACCTGCTTTCTTGTTTGCAAATGATCAACATGAACATACAGAATGGCTGACATTTGGACCTTTGGATAAACTTAAAACATGGATTATGGAATGTCTAATAGAGGGCTTTTCTCTCTTTTTTTTAATAATGACTGTCCCACACTTTAATTCCTCAATGATATGTGGATGCTACCTAAATCAGATGAAATGTTCTATTTCCTTTAAAATTCTGTATATATTTAAGAATTTATAGAAAATGATTATTTAAAATGGAGTTTCTAAATAATTATTTTCTTTATAGTTTAGTGGAATAAGAAGAAAAATAAAAAAAAATAAAAAAAAAAACCATCAAATCTAACCTTTATCAAAGCCATCAAGGAGGCTGGTAAAGTACTTTGCCAAAACCACAGCTCTGAACCACATAGAATGCTGATGAACTTAAAGCTTTGCCAGTTTGGCAAGTCTTCCAGTATAATAACTGTTGTGCCTCAGTACATTTTAAATAGACTGTTAGAGTTTACTATATCCTAGAAACCAAATAAAAAATAAATGTTTTCTTCACTCAAGGGGAAGGTTTTTTTATCCCAATAGAAACAGGAATTTCAAGTTTTGATACAAAAACAATTAAGATAAAACCCAAGTGGGAGCTCAGTCCATCTTTTGAATATTAACAGAATGAGGATTTTTTTAAACTTATTTCTCCCATTTTGTCTTCTTTAAACACATACACTCACTCACTCTCTCAAGAATAGGTAGCACACCAAAACTTTAGCTGTGTTGTAAGATGTGTACACCTTCACGGTTTATTGTGGTTTTTCTTAAGTTTTATCCTCATTAGAATAAAGTTCATGCATTTCTACACTATTCTTGACTAAGGCTCAAGACACAATAAAAACATAGAAGTAATTTTTTTAATAAAAGGAAATAAAATAATCAAGTACTCTGAGTATTTTCCTCCATTCTATTCAGAATTTCAAGGCCTCTGAAAAATAATGAAATAATAAGAATAGTGGTTTTGAGATCTAAATTTGTTATAATATTTTGGATTCCTTTTCTCAGCCAAAAGCTACTATTTGAATGAAGCTTTTCAGACTACAAGCCTGGAAGACCATCCTTAGAAGACATAAAAAAATTACTTCTGATATATACACTCCTAATAATTTAGACAGATGTGAAAACAATTCCAAATAAAGATCAAAAAATAAAGTCCCTGTAAAAATAACTTTGGTTGCTCCCACCCACACATGCCGTATGATGATTTAAACTGCAATCATGAATTTTGAAAAAATATACGTATCTTATCTATAAAAACACTACCATACAAACTTGAAACTAAAATGTTATCTGAAGTGACACACATGTTCTAAATTTCAAGGATACTTAGAAATACATTTTTTATTTGTAAAATAAAAGAATAAAACCAATCTGATTGTGTTATTAGGAAATCTGTTCTGGAAACTTATTCATAAATTATTGGTGGAAATGCTCAATGTCCATTATGCTGTCACTTAAAATAGATTCAATCATTTTCTTGTAAAGAAATGACTGAGTAAAATGAGTAAAAGAATAATAAGTAAACTTATAAACTACAGGTTAATCAACACATATTACAACCAGGTATGACTCTGTGACAAGAACAGGAGTCATACTTGGTTGCTATCACAGTACTTATGATCTGGCTGTGTCCTTAAGGTCTTACTTGGAAACTATCACGCCAACCTACCTTTGGGATAATTTTATCAGTAGACACAGACAACGGGTATCTTTTTATCCTGTTTTCTTAACGTTTGTATCACTAGTCTGTAACAGATAGCAATGAGATAGTTCTAGCAACAGATGAAGCAAGAGGGTGACTGTGTTCTAGAAGAAACATTTATCTGTCTTTTGATCCAAGTTTCTCTATTAATTCTTGAAGAGGTGCCAGCTCACGCCTATCAATCAGATTAAACTCCTAAAAAGAGAAGAAAAGTAACATTTAAAAATGCATCTAAAACTGAAACTCTTTAATTGTCTCAGGGTTTCCCAACCCTAGTTTTCTGAAGTCCAAAAGAATCATGAAATAACCTCTGTGACCATTTTAAAATAGGTATTCATTCTCTTCTTTTTCTTTCTTTCTTTCTTTCTTTTTTTTTTTTTTTT